AAAGAACTTCAGGATAAAAACAGGTTCATAACTCTGAATACTTTTTCTCAAAAAAATTAGTGTTTTGCTTTCTCATCCCAATTTATCATAAATAACGAATTCACATGCATATATGCATATAAATTGGTTTCGTGATTAACAAATATTAAGGAGATCCATTATTTGAATCTATAACTGTAGTTATGTTAGTAGAATACAAAACAAATGTAATTAATATTACTTGTTAAAACACACATTTAATTCGAAGTAAAATCTTTATTATATTTTTGTAAAATAATACATGAGAAAGGGCTAGGCTAGCAAAGTAAAATGTAAAAAATGATAGAGTAGCAGGGTGTTCCGGCCCTTAGTGTGCACATAAATGCGATTCCATATATAAATATATGCATCCGAGGGTGCGTTACACTAATTTGATATGCAATATCGTGTGCAACTATTTAAAGCAGATGAGGATCCATTTCCCGGCATCGTTAACATAAATCACAAGATGGTCTGCTAATCAGATATGCTCACTCGCCTGCAAAAGATTTTTTATTAAAAAATAAGCCCGAAACGGAAATGTGCCAATGATTCATTATATTTATCTCATTGTTAATAAATTATATACTCTTGTCATTCAAATAAGATTCTTTTCTTTCACGAATAATATCATCCCAATAAGGCTTTAGGCTTTTATTTTTGATTTCAGATTTTACCTATTGTAGAAACAATATAACGGCAAATGTTTTCGTTAATAACATAATGGAGATTTTCTAACAAATTCAATTCAAGCAAAGGAAATGCAAGTCGCAATAATGGCGCCCGACACGACAACCGGATACTCCTAAGTTGACCGACCACCAACAAGAAGCGCAACCATTATTACTTGGGTCGACACGACAACCGAACACTCTTGATTGACCAACCACCAACTAGAGCTCCCTTTTTGCTAGATAATTTTAACTAGGCATTAAAGTAAATATACTACCCTTTCAAATACAGCTCTCAAAAAAACGAATAGCTCACGCAGTTTCGAGGCCTTCACAATCATCCGAAAGAGGTGGTGAATTCACAATATTATCACGGTGAAGCTTTAAGAATTCATAGAATGAACAGGTTTTACGCTCCTTTATGTAAGAGGCAAGAACTAAAAGAGTTAGATTTATTGGTTTTATTGGAACTAAAAAGATCTTTGAAACATAATTTGGACTACTTAAAAAAACACCTACCAGGGTAACCTTGGTAAAACTCTTCTTGGTCAGGATCAAGCGAAATATTCTGCATTTTCCTTTATGAACTTTTAGTTTGCTAACAAAAGTAGTGTTGCTTTCAAAAAAAAGATACTTATTTACAATACTCAAACTCAAGATATAAATCAAATCATTTTTTCGCGTTTTCGCGTTATCGACCAATCCCTTGCTATGAAAAATGATTTCAGATATTATTTCAATAT